TTTCCTTGTGTGACCCTAGTGATTGGCCCTTGTTCTATCACTGTTGTCTTGATCACTATCTCTTTCAGCCTTTGTGTGTGGTGCTAGCCCCATTCCTCACCTTGGCTTGTGCTTTCCCCTGTGCTTTCTCCCCTCATCACCACATAATCTTCAGCTCAACTGATGACAAGCTGACAATCTGAGCCAGGTATTTTGTGGATATTGCCCAACTGTTGCAACATGTTAGCTCTCATTTCCGCCCATCAGTCAAAGGTATTGGCATTGACCATCATAAAACCTCCATTTGTGAGTTTCCAGACTGTGATAGCAATGAATTGTGAGTCATAGTTTCTTCTCAACAGCCTAAATACTTATCATTGGAAAGCATGAACAACTGTGAATACACCATGCACCTGGCCTCTACCCACAGAATTATGCTCCTAGAGTGTCCTATCAATCACTATGGCAATCAATGCAAAAAGAAATGCACTGAGGATCATCATGTAAACTGTGGACCTCTTGAACTCAAAGGACAATTTGTGTATACTAAAGATACACTTGCCAAATCTCAACTGGCCTTTACCTTGAGCAATGCTTGTGGATCATCAGTTGTGGAAAACTATTAAGACAGTCAGAGAGAAGCCCATGTCTCTCAGTGATAGAAAAAACCCTCTGCCCCCTCCTGAAGATGTGCCACCATTGCCACCGCCTCCTCAAAAGCCATGGTCAAATGTAGCTAGGAATAGAAAAGTTGTGCACAATAGTTCCATCTCCTGTCTATCAAGGACAACCTCCAAATGGAAATCGCAAATCCCTGATTTATCTCAGTTTTCTCTTCAACCAATGGGTTGTCTCCTTCTACTCCCAGTTCATTGATGGCATTTTCATTTGCATCTGTGTCTGCTTCAACCTCATCTGCTTCTTCCTTGTTTATTTCAACATCGTCCTCTTCTTTGTCTGCTTCAACCTCATCCGCTTCCTTGTCTGCTTCTGGGACGCCATTAACTGACAAAGAGAAACTCGTTATGTGTATCAAGGACTTTGTCTCGGCAGAAGGCAGGCAAGTATACATCAACCTAGCAGAGACGCTGGTGGAACAGAAAATTGATCTGCAAACGATTACATCTATGACATGGGCCGATCTTTAACTGGTCTGTCTCACTATGAAATTGGGACACTTCAAGAAACTGCAAACACAAATCGTTCAATGGCAGGAATCATCGACTGACATGCACGGGCTGCGACGGCGGGGCACATATTTGCTAATGCATTAAATTCCTTGTGTTACACATCAGAGAGTCCTTTGCTGAATTTGGATCAGTAAAGTGAATTTTTTTTGTTCAGTTGCCTTCGTAGAATTATATCCCCGGCTTCTACATGTTCAAGTCCCCTCTTTTCAGAGTCTGGTGTAAACAATGTACCAACATCAAAGTCCAGAAGGCTCGATTCGAATCTTCATTTTCCGGGTTTCCTGAGGTTGATGCCTCCACTTCACCCAAGTAAGCATACCACGACATCAGCCCCTTTAGGACAAGCAACTATTGGCTACTAGGTAGTAATTTCCTGCTCTACTCTCACATTGTCTCTCCAAGGGTAGTGTCACCAAGAAAGAATGTAGATTATATAACCGACTGGACCAAAAGGTAGCTTTGCGTGAACACTATATCGATTTGCAAAGTTGTACGATAATTCTTCACCACTAGCACTCGTCCATCATGCTTGGAGTTAGAATCATCAGGGGGGAGTAAAACAGAACGAACATGGTACAGGAAAGATAGCGCGTACAACTCAGAGGGTTTGTATTTAAACAATGGACTTCCTGCAGAAAATCCCCTACGCTTTGACTCCCAAAAACAACAACCCTCGCTTCGCTACCTCCACGGCTTCCTCTAACTCCCTCATATCCGCGCCCGACCAACGCTCCCCCTCACTTAATTGATCTGTAGGCACCTCCTTCCATATAGCCGCTTCGAATGCTGCTTTCCTCTTATTCAACTCAGACATTTTCCGAGGATCAGAATGTCCAGTGAATATAAGGAGTGCAGTTCGCGATGGAAGGGAAGCGTGTATTCTCTGTAGATGATTTGAGGTTGCGAGGAGAGCGGAAGAAAGGGCTTCGGGTGTAGGAGGATCTGCCAGTAAACTAGCGGCGGGTATCGATGTAGAGATGGACTCGGACGGATTAGCGCGTGGAGTTATCCCTAAAGTGAATTCTTTTAGATATGTGGAAATGAAAAGGGCAAAAGGTCCGACTTACATCCCCTAACGTTTGCCAATCCCATCAACCTTACAAACACAAAGTCGTGCGATCCCACTAACTCTACGGTCTTGCTTACCACCTCTTCGTCGTCCTTGCACCCGCTACTCGTGCTTGCCTTGTTTCCATGCATCACTGAAGGATTTCCATGATCAATCACCGCAGTCCGTATCTTTTCACCGCCAGTCCCTGCATTGACAATAGACATGGACGAGCGTTTCACAGCTCTCCCCATCCTCTCGAACAGTCCCTCTAGATCCGCTTTGAACTCGCCAAATTCCGGTCCATTCTCAACTTTTTTGCGAACGAGTTCCATTGTGGCGCGCGCATCTTCCTCGGGGTCGTGCCCTCCTTCCCCACGGGCTTGAATTTCTCTCCCGCACCACTTTTTTGTCAGCCAAGCTAGACCAGGTTTGAAAGGACGTCCTCGAGGGTGGGAGTAGATCAGAGCTGTGTCGACACAAAAAGAGTGGGCAATTTTCAGAGCTTTGAGATCAGATTCGAGAGAATGTCCGAGCAGAATCGGGGTCAGCTGAGGAGTAGAGAAAGAAGGAGTGGGTTTGGTAGAAAATGGATTCGGCTTCGGGGTATGGGGTGACACTGGGTTAAGCAATTTGAGAATATGGGCTTGTGCTTCGGCGAACGTGGTCGTTGCGGTAGCGAGAGCTTCCGCAGTGATTCCTGACCATCTATATCCAGTCAATGGCAACTTAGAAATGCGAGGAAAGAGCGACGGAGAAATTGCTAACCGTGTTAGATAGTCGATGACAGGTTTCTTAGGTTTTACTAGTTGGTCGTATACGACCAGTTGGGTATCATAGTCAATCATGCAAACTCTTGTGAGTTCTTTGCCATCTTCTGTCGTGCACTATACCGCGGTCAATTTCAACTAGGGTATATAGATGATAGAAATATTTACCATTTCGCAATCAATTCCAAATACTTTCCGTCGAGGCATTGGTTTGCCTTGTTCACCATCGAGCTTGGGTTCCTGAGGAGTCTCGACCCAGTCTGGTGACCTCTCGTTGTCGACGTCGGCCATATATGACGGTATTGGATAATCGTTGTCAATCATTTGTTCGATTGTGAGTATGTATTCCGAAGGGTTTGGTAATCCAGATTCTGCTGAGAAAGAGGCATTGTGTTTGGTCAGCTACATTTGGATTCGGGAAGATGATTCCAAAATCAACGAACAACTTTTGACCTTTGCTTTTGCCTGAGCTTCTAATCGTCTCTTCTTCTCTGCTCCGCTGATCGGGAGGTTAAAGAATGTGCTTAGAACGCTGTGCATTTTCGTCTGGTCGCCTGGTGCACGGGTCGGACAGGCGTGACTGAACGTCGAACCAATGAAGGGGACACCTGTTGGAGTGGGGTCTGAAGGATCTCGACGAGGAGGAAGGGGAATAGATATTGGGAGATTGGGGTTTCTCAGCGCACTGGTAGGCGGGGGAGGTATTCCGAGAACATCTGGTGTCAATCCTGGTACAAGAATCACGACCACTTTCGGTATCATTTGAGCGTTCTAACCCTGCAAAATTAGACCAAATTTCCTATTATAAGACAAATACATACCTCAACGCGGAGCCAGTTTGGAGGAGGAGCATCGGCAATTATATGCAAAGCAAGATCGCGAACTTCCTATAGATATTTGTTGAAAAGATAATCAGAAACTAATATGATTGTCATACCTCAACACCAATGGCTCTCTGTCTCTGCAATATGTCGTTGTTCGAATACATGAACTTGGGTTGGGTTGTCTACGGGATCATAATTATACTCAGTCTGTCTCCGATAAGAAATTTAAGCCGTTACATCAAGTTTAACTTCTGCCTTGTGAACCTTTTTCTTCTTGCGTTTTTCAACTTTAGTCCATCCCACGTCGGCTTTTCCTTGATTTGCTGATATTGTTCCTTCATTTTCGCTGGCGTTTGGACTAAGTTTCGCCTTTTTGTTCTTCTGAGTTGCGGGAGACGACGGTACTGAAGCCGTAGAACGCTTCATACCTAGTCAATGTCGCGGTGAAAACCAAGTTGCATAATCTAATCAGTGTAGCTTCGACCCTAACCCTAGTTATTTGAACGTCGTGAACGACGAGGAAGAAAGGCTCTCACAGCGTTCAGAAGATATTCCATTAATTGCTCTGGTATGAGCCTCAGGACCATAATACCGTCGTCGTCGCACGCACCGTGAAATGCGACGAGGCTGCAGTAAACCTACCTACCCGTAGCTAATCGCGACTTCGGATTACCCGCTGGAATTTACTATGCACCATTCTAGAACACCTTTCATTCGATCCGAGATTCTGTGGCAAGCGCGGCCATAAACAAGACTTTGTTATGTCCCGCAGACGGTATGCACAGAATGTACTGCTTCTGTACTCAATCTACGCAGCATAGAAGGACTATGCACGCTATTTCTTATTTCGTACGTCCACCCCCGCCAAGGAGGTCGATGTAGAATGATTCTACAGTAAACGGGATTTCTGTCAACTCCGTAATCCAGCGTAATGCTAGTACTTTGCAATGTCTATAAGGTATCGCTTCGACCGGAATTCTAATCCCACCTACATACGTTGAACTGTGTCGTTCTGCCTCAGCAAACCTTGTACTTGCATATTAACATAAAATAATCCATCCTGTCTCGATGACCATGACCAAGGAAAATATCGATATCCATTCGGCCTTCGTGAACTTCACCTCCGAAACTCCGACTTAACATTTGATCCGTCCTTGGAAATGGTTCACTGAAAGAGGATAGAAAACTAGACCCTGGCTGGGAGTCGAGCCCAGCTTTCGCACAGAACATTCACAAGCCAATATCATCGTAAAGTATTGTTCAGTTCATGAATGGCGCGTGTACTAACCGATGTACTACCAGGATATACTGAATCCTGGTACTAACTCTTCCAATAAGTGGTACTTGTTTGAATATTCCCACTCGCACAATGTTTTTTCGAGATATGCATCCGAGACCTCGGCTTTCAATTCCTGCGCAGGTATAGAGTCACCATAGAAAAGAGAAGATGGTCGATATGTTAACCTCAGAATATATGTTCAATTGTTCTGAAATTTTGGAAAATTGTCCTGATTTGGTAATATTTGCCGGCTAGCCCCGCAGGGCGCAACGGCGTCATAATTCATTTTTATTCTTTCGAACCACATCTTAACTTGTGATTTACTCATGGCGTCGAACTCGTCCACGTCGTCGTCAACGGCGTCGGCGACCTCCTCTGTCGCTGCAGCGACCAGCTCCGCAGCATCGGGCACGATTTCTGTTGGCTCAAATCTCAAGGTGCTTTAGTGGTCACTCTTATTGAACTAAACCTGTTAATTTGAGGTTATAGATCGTCGGAATAATCCTTGCCATAGCCAGTGGTTGTCTCATCGGGACCAGCTTTGTCTTCAAGAAGAAGGGATTGCTACGGGCGCAGGCCGGCAAGGCCGCTGGAGAAGGTGTAGGTTATCTCAAGTCGGTGAGTACATGGCATTTGCCCTCCGAGACCATTGTTGTCTAACCTATCTTTTGCAGCCATTATGGTGGATAGGAATGACCAGTATGTTCCTCTACACACTCTCTACATGACCCTCATGCATTCCGCGTAGTGATGATAATGGGAGAACTTTGTAATTTCGCTGGTATGTCTACTGTCGTCCCTGTTCTCCTACGACCTTCGCTGACGACAATATCGCTTTCAGCATATGCCTTTGTAGAGGCCATTGTCGTCGTGCGTCGTCTCTTATTCAGCGCCGAAGATCACTCTGGTTGACCGGGCGCCTCCCATCTCTATCCCAACACATTTCAGACTCCTCTGGGTGCACTATCCGTTGTGATTTGTGCTATACTGTCCTCAATATTCCTCAAAGAGAAACTCACATTCTTTGGCTGGCTCGGGTGTGGGCTATGTATTGTGCGTTCCTCCACTGAGTTAACTGCGCATGTGTACGCGGCAGTGCACCGACCTCAGTCTAACCAACTTTCCCCATTTGTAGATCGGCTCTGTAATAATTGCACTCAATGGTATGTTCGAGCTAAGCTCTCATCTATCATCATCACAATTCTATCTCTATTAGGTCCATCGGAGAACTCTGTCGGTCAGATCAGAGATTTTGAAAAGCTATTCCTTGCGCCGGGTTTCATATCCTATGCTTCTGTTCTCATCGCCGCCGCACTCGCGATCATCTTTTACTTTGCTCCCCGGTACGGGAAGAAGAGTATGCTATGGTACATCTTTGTGTGTAGTATGATTGGTGGAATTAGTGTGAGCGTGACGACAGGCTTGGGTGCAGCGATTGTTACCACTGCAGAAGGTGATAACCAGGTTTGTTTTGAGAATGTTATTACTGGAGGTCGCATCCTGATTATGATCTTTCAAGTTCAAATTCTGGTTCATATACTTCCTCATGGGCTTTGTAGCGATCACCCTGAGTTCGTTCTCGACTTCTCACATCTTTGCATTTCGGTTGCTGATCTTTTCACTAGTAACGGAAGTCTACTATCTGAACGTAGCGCTGGCGCTGTTCAACACTGCTATGGGTGCGTAAATTCTACTCAGATACAATTGGACTTGTTACTGACTGATCCTTCAGTTACGCCCACGTACTATGTTATATGTATGGATCATATCCTGAACTTCAGTACTCCTGTTGATTGATATTCCCTTTCAGTCACATTTTTCTCCATATTGACGACAATTGTGAGGTCAAGACTTTAAATTTCTATCATATTTCGTTGATTTTTCTACAGGTATTATTCCAAGGCCTATCTGCTTCAGCTTCATCCATCATCACCCTTGTCATGGGATTTATCGTGATCTGTTTCGGCATAACCATCCTTCAAATGTCCAAAGTCGACCCAGAAAACCTTACTAAACTCGACCGCAGATCAACCATCCTCCTCCAAGCTTCTCGCGAACACACTGCTGGCTTTGACGAAAAAGACGTATTGGCCGTCGAGGATCCTGGAATTGATACTCTCAGAGGATCATTTGGCACTGTTGGTAGTATCATTCGGGCTAGGAGCGCCAGAAGGATGAGCCAGAGTCGGGGAGGAAGTCGACCCGGATCATATAGCACAAGACCAGCAGGTGCAATGGCGCCGTTTGGAGGACAAGCGTGGCTTTCCCCAAGAAATAGCACGAACACGGAGTACCTTGGAGGTCTAAAACGGCATCAACTTTACGATGCCCCAGTCCCACCAGGCTCACCTTCCCTCACAGGTGCTACACGTGGAGATGATGTTTCATCGATAACTAGTGCGGGTAGAGACTCGGAAATAATTAACAAACGTCCAACGATCAAGTTCGATACTCAAGACATCGTGCATCAGTATCATCCGACTGGACAAACGCCGGGAGGAACAAGAGGTGATCCCAAGGCTATTCATGGTCACCGAGCGACGGCGACGTCTCCTGGAATTCCTGGGATCGGCGCCCATGGCGATTCGTATCCACCTCCGTTGTCAGTAACAACGACCGCTACTGGCGCTGGCGCTGGTGTTTCAGGATCAAGAGACTTACTCTCTGAAAGTCCGACAGACACTGAAGGACCTTCTGCATCTGCGCTCTCACAGATTATCTCATTACCTCCCCTCCCTCCCCGATCTCCTGGTCAGGAGGCTATACCCTACAGTGCCCCGCCGACTTCGATCCTACCACGTCCTAGACAAGGACGTACGGATTCGAGAGATATATTTAATGATACTCCGAGTACTACGACATTGTTGTCGTTTCCGAGTGTCACAGATTCGGCGAGAAGCTGGGATAAAGAGTCAAATCGATCTAGTCATTCGAGTACGAGGGGCAGGACGTCGAAGAGGTATCCTAAAGGAGATAAGGATACGGATCGTGAGGAGAGTGTGAGTTTATGGCAGAGAGACAGTGAGGATAGTGCGAGCGTGGATGGAGATGAGGACGATACGGCACAACATGGCATACGGCTGGTTACATCACCGCGTACGGTGGGAAGTAAATTTTGAGTGGGGGCGTTCAATCTCTATTCTGCGGTAGGAGCTGATGATTTTCACGAACGTTGAACAACGGATGACTGATGAGGACTGTAGTGTTTGTATGTATGTATGTATGTGATGAGTGTTGATTTATTCTACTTTCCAGGCTCCAGCCTTTGCTTGAAATAGCGTTTCTTAGGCCGCGCGCGACTGGGCTAGAATTCCTGTTTATAGATACCGTTTTGTAGGCCGAATAACTCTTGTCCGATATTGTGTCCCTCGAGAACTTGGGTCTGCCGAGAAACTGTTGAACTTTCCAAAACCTGCTTGGCATTACTCACTTTTCCAAGGAAAGACCAAGTTTCTCGGGAGAACTGATGACGACGCCGAATCAATGTTTTTGAGTACTTGTACATTGGAGTTTTTTAGATAGATTCTGGGAAGAACATAAAAGATTTTTTTGACATTTTTTGTGTCCTGTCGAAAACAATCAAGGACCTGAAGCTTCAGACCGGAATCATAGCGTGCTTACAAAATATCAGGTCTCCACATAGCTCACGCAATAGCCAATCCAGGATTGCAAAAGTTTTGCGCCCCTCCAAAACGTGTATATTGGTGAAGGGCTAAAGAATGAGCTAAGAAGATGAAGGACGGGGAGATGAAGAAAGATGTGAGGTGATTAGATGACACGGTTTGAAGAAGCACGCAGAGAGGCTAATTGAAGCTCAGCTCGAACAGTGGCATGATCACGAACATAGATCTTCCATGTGTCGGAAGACCAATGACCCATAGCCTGGATGACAGATTCGGAAACTCTGAGGCTAACAAAGAAGGTCGCGGATCCAGCACGAACAGAGTGTCCTCTATAATCTGAGCTGAGGACAGAAAAGAAGTGTTTGTTGAACCAATGTCGAGTAGGCAAAGATCCATCTTTGCGCAGGAACAATTCAGCTCTTGCCCTGTGAAGTCAATCTCGAAGAGAAGTGTAAATGGACAGTAGGAAGACAGGATCGGCAATACAACAGTGAGACAGAAAAATATCAGTTCCCTGATAGAACTGATCCGCCTTGTGGTAGGGGAGTCTGTATCCCGCATGGTCGTTGTTGAAGTGGAGAGAGCAGCACTAGATAATTTTATGGTAATTCAATGATGCACTAGACCCCTTAATGATAAGTTTGCCGGAGCAATGACATCCATAGAACATGCACGACAAGATGGTGACAAACAAAAGATTATCATATGAGGGAGTCTGGTAAAAGTGATGACCAAAAACTTGAAGATGAGCGAGACGGATAGGCAGTTTCTGTTTAATGTCATCTGCTCTCAACTTGTGGGAACCACTGAGTGTTGCCTGGACCAGTGCCGAAGCCCGATTCACCGCAAAGTCTGGATAGAGATATTTGAGGAACTGCTGGGCACCTGTTAAGTATTTGGGCCAAGATGCAATAAATTGAGAGGTGTGAGCAATGTAACAAGCAAGAGTGAGAGGAGTGGGATTCAAGGAAAGTTTCTGAGATGTGTTTCTTTTATATTGCCTTATTGTTTACTCACCGAATACCTACAGCTTTACTTATGGATATGAGCAACTCTTATTGTGTATCCTCATGGTTACAGCACGAGATACTTCTCACAGCTTCATATCCCATACATATATAAAACTTAGTATTTTGTAGTTATATTCCTTAGCTCTATTCTCATCTATACTCCTCGGTAGCTAGACTTGTAGTTGGGTTGCTTTATCCTCATCACCTTTTTCATCCTCTTGCTCATCGATTCCTGTGTGACGCCTGGTTGTCTCTTATGAGAGCTAGCGAGTCACTGACAAAGATCATGCATCTCCACAATCACATAATAGTCACAACATAATTGTGGAATTGGTTGGGAATGCAAGGGAATTATTCCCTTGCAAAGGGAGGAACAATTCATGGAGTTTAGGA